GAGAAACTTTGGAGAAAAAAAAGAGTAAAACCATCTTCGTGTCTGCGGTGGCAGATTGAAGAAGACAGAGAGGATTAAGGCAGTTTCTTTCCTTCTTAGTGGACAGAGAGCTAATGAGGGGCCCCTGACTGCTCTGTCACTACCGTTTACCCGCAGGAGGATGAAGCCGGCCGCTCCACGGCCCCTGGCTGCTCTGGGCCAAAAGGCCAACATGAAACAATGGAGCATTTTTCCCACACACCTACAGGTCCGATATAAACCATCTGAAGAGGAAGCGGAGCTGGACGGAGCTGGACGGAGCAACCAGAGAGCAGGAGCCGCTCTGTTCACTGAGCGGGGACTAATGGATCAATCACCGACACACATTTCCAGTTTAAAAAAACCGCCGACAATTCAGCTGTTTTAGAAAATAAGCAGTAAATAATGCCGACCGTTTAAAAGTTTTAATATTAATGAAAACTGTTATTCTTTGCAGGCAAAAATAACAGTTGCCTGTAAACCAAATGTTACGCTTTATGTAACATTTGGTTTGTTTTGCTTTCCAAGAATAACGGCGGATTTTACTTCTTTACAGAAACTGCAATATAATTTATTTAGATCAATACATTATTTCGGTTATTTTCTCTCTATTTTTTTATTTTTATATAAACCCAGTTCAGGTCCAGGCTGCAGGCGCATTAAACTGAAATTAAACATAAATATTCAGTGTTGGATGCTGCAAAGTTTATTTTATTTTATTTTTTAAATTCCACTGTTAGACTGGAGCCCAGTGGTGTTTAATCTTTAATTATTATAGGCTACAAAATAATTTCTGGTGCTTTAAATGATAACTTTTTAAGATTTGTGTAAATCTAAAAATAAAATAAAAGTGAAAAGAGAAACTGCCGACACATAAATTAATCTTTTAAATCTACCAAATGTTCGACTTCCCTCCATTTGTGTCTCAGCGATTAAACAATAAAAGCATATATTTATTTTTTAACATTAAAACCAAATAATTTTAATTAAAAAAAAACAAGATTCACTGGTTCTGTTAAATAATTAAACTGTAAGCAAACTGTAGTATGGGTGAAAGCCCAAATTAAAAAAAAAAAATTAATTTTGCTTTAAAAAAGTAGAGCAGATGCAAACACGCCAACATTATGAAGAAACTGCGAGTGAATATTTCTGATATTTATTATTTATTTTTCCAACTCTCAGCAATGTTGTTGAAATCCTCTGAAATACAGAAAAAGTGCGCAATAACTTTAAAAGAACAAACAAAACAAACGATGAATGTTCAAAGGTTAAAATCCAAAGAATATAACTTCTGTTTTTTTTTTATTTGCAACTCTAATGAAATATAAATTTATGTTTTATGTGATATTATGACCCTGGGGAGACTAGTAATCAATGCTTTGGAAAATTAGAGGGGTCCAAATAAAAGGAAAAACTCTCCACAAGTTAATGATTTAAAAACACTTTAATAGCAATTTTCCTGAAATGTTCCAGTAAACATCCTGTGTTTTTTTTTTTTTTCCATTTTCTTACTCTACTTTCACCTTAGTTGTGCCAAAACAAGAAAAAAAAAAATCACTTTAGATAAACCTAGGTCTTTGATTAATCTCTCTCTCACTTTCTCTATCTTTAACTATATATATAAATATATATATATATAACCTTTAATGAGGCCTTTTTTTTCTGGCAACAACCATGGCCATAAGTGTCCTTATCCACTTTGTGAGGAGCGGGTGGGGGGGTTAAAGCAAACTGCAGTATGGGTGAAAGCCCAAATTAAAAAATAAAGAATATTCCAAATAAACATTTTCAAAAAAAATTTTAAAATAACAATAATGATATCAACAAAAATGAATTTTCGTCCTTCTGGCTACATATCGGTGCAGCCAAATATCTTTTCTGGTTTAGTTTTACTGGAACATCTGAATACACCAGGTCAATTATGTTGTCTTAAAAAAAAACAATAAAAGCCTCATCATTCCCGAAACTTTATTTTATACCATATTGTTTTGTTTTTCTATATTTGAAACCTGATATATTTGTGGCTTATTGAATAAAAACATTGACTCTGAAACCAACAGTCCAACCGATATTTGTTCTTTAAAGTCTGTTCCTGTGAATAAGGCGTGGCAAGGTCAGTTTATTGGTATAATGCATTTCAGTAAAGGAAGAATTCAAAGTGCTTTACATGATGATAAGTAAGAAGTAAAAAAAATAAAATAAAGATAAGGTTTCATTGAATGGATGTTAATCTGCAGGTCTACAGGTGAACCAGAAGGACTTAATATACATAGAAGAGACTTTATTTGTCCTTTTTAGAACCAGAGAATCAGGTTCACAGTGAATAATCACTCAATAGATGTGAAAGATTAGAAACATTTCTATGAAAATGAGAGTCATATTAATCAAGTTTGGAAATTCATTACATCCATAAGGTTTCTGCAGATATCATTCGAACCTGGTGCTGGTGGACGGACACATAAAGTCCCCTGGTGTATTTCTTTTCCTTGTCCACCCATCGCCCCTATAATCACATCCTCTGTCTCAGACAGTTACCCTTCCACTCGTCTAGCTTCTCAGAAGCCTTGAACCTCTTGAGGTTCTCCCAGACTGCTTCAGTGACCCATGACCTTCCTGCCCCTTCACCTGACACCAGCTAATATAAACAGGGAACACGTCATCAGGCACCTCGCTTACTTAAAATCATCAAGTCCATCTTCCACCGGTGTCAAATTTTCTCTGACAAAAATTCCTCATGTGCTATTTTTTTTTTCTCTCACTTTGAAAAATGCTAATTTACACCCAGAGAGGCGAGACTGCAGCACCACGCCTCAGTGAGCCCATCTGATGCTCACAGAGAGTAAGACTTAAAAGCAGGCAATATTGGAGGAAGCCTGTCTGCTGAGGAGCCCCCTC